TCTATGTGGAAGTAAATTCCTTTCTGTTGACTAAACGGCATGCTTCTCTAAAATGCTTTTGAAATCTAATAATCAAGTATTTGCTAGAATATAGAGAATAGTATTTAAAATAAATAAAATAACCTTTACTATTGCTTTTGTTATAATTTACCTACAAGTAATAATGAACATTTATATTTTATAATTCACTGACTTTTCATTTGAAGCATATAGTATTTTGGCATTTCCTTTAACTTTTATTTTCATTTTATTTGCATGTGGAATTACTAATTCATCTCAAGGTTTTACAAATATGACTACTGTCAAAAGAAAAAAATGTATTTAATGAATACCCAGTTTTTCTTTATTCAGCCAGTCATTGGACTGACCACTTACTGATTCATTTGTTCATTCAATAATAAATATTGAGCACATATTATGAACAATGCACTGTTCTAATAATTTTTAAAAAAGACCACTATGACTATTACGGTTCTTTGAGGAAAATACACAAGTAAGTAGACAGACCCACAGTGATTCTGAACTGAATACTGTATTTGGAGCTACTTAACCCCACACTATTGGGTATGGTCACATAATCTCTGAGGCATAGAGTGTAAATAGGTCTGTAGGTCTTTCTATATTAGGATATAATAGTTCTATTTGGAGGCACTGAACAATTCATGGGAAAGAAAGATTTAGTTTGGAGAGGGTAGAATTTGTGCATCACATTATACTAATTATGGTATGTTTCAGTACACTGACTAAAACTATCAAACTATATAGCATCATAATCTATTTTGAGTTAAAATGTTTAGAAAAAATAAAATGTAACTAATTCACCAGGCTCTAACATTTTTTGAGTAGCATCCAAGTTTCATGATAATTTTTTTGAAAAATACATTCTTGCCCGGGAGAACACCACTGCTACTCAATGAAGCAGAATCCTTACTTTTACCAAGTGTCCCCCACAGAGTGCAGTTGGTAGAGAGACACACACTGAGCTCTCACCCCTCCTCTGTGCCTTTCTTTACTCACTCACTTTTCTCCACCTAAAACGTTCCCCTCAACTTCTCAAATTCCCACCGATTAAAATCCTACCTCTGAAAGGTTCACCTCAAATACCAACCATGTTCTTCAGGACGACTTCTTTACTATTGAAACATATGGCAACATATTTTATCTCTAATATAGTGCTTAATATATTTTCTTTGCATTGCAAGTCCATAAATTATTCCTATCCTTTTCCTTCCCAGTTTTAGAATTCCTTGAGGGTAAAGGCTGTGTCTTGTTTGTTTTTGCATCCTTCATAGAGAGAGCTTCCACATGCCCTGGTGCTTAATATGTGCCAGCAGCATTAATTTACTCAAATACTCTCAAGGACTTATTTACATATTCATGTTCTGTTTATCTAGGAAAGGATAATAGGATTTTGCATTTATTTATTTTTTACATCTATCTTCTCCCTCTATATATCATTTTATTAAGTGATTTTTAATTTCTTCCTCCTATTATGTCTATGAAAAAATATTTAAGAAGAAAGTTACCATCCGTGGCAATAGCTTTTTTATTATAATAACCAAAAAAGAGTAGTCTTGGTCTAATATAATGTCTAGGGAGAAAATAGGTCTGATTCTTCTCTTCTAGAGAAGGATAAGAGGCATAAACTGGGAGACATACTTAATGGCCACACCCTCAGACTGACAACTCAATGACTCATCAAAACACACTTGTCCTACAAGTTAAAAGAAAAACTAATTTACATAAAAATTGTGACATCTGGGTTATTTCCAGTTAGAGTTCATTAGTTTGCAAAAATCCTCCCCATTACTATGGTGATGCTGCGTCATTAGGTAGAACTTGCCAGTTCATAAGAGCTGAATTTGTCACAATTACTTCCGTAATGTTGATGGTCAAACTTTATTATTTAAGGTTTCAAATATAATTCAAAATAAACATCATATATTGCTATTTACTTAGAGGAATTTGCTTAAAATTGGCTTTTTCTATTATGTTCTTTAAAAAGTCATTATTTTAGATAAAATACTTTCTAATTGCCAAAACCCTTAGTGTCTGTGCAAGACGGTTCATAACTTGAGTGTGACTTAACTCCCCAGTCTTATTTCTCACAACTTGCTGCCTTGTTTCACTTTCCTCTGGGAGGTTGTCCTTCAGTTGGTATTCCATTTTGCATCAGAGTATACACATACAGAACTCTAAGTTATTAATTCAACAACTGTCAAACTTTTGGAGCCTCTCTCCAAAAATACTTTTATAGGCAAACTTTATCATCTTCACCAGAGAACAGAAAACACTGGAGAGATTCTTTATGAAAAATAGACAAGTGTTCCTCTGAAAGTCACTCACATACTCACAGATATTTATAATAAAGGCAAGTTATTGTTCATTACCCAGGAAATTATCCAGTTATGACTTACTGACATATGGTATATCTAAAAGTTTATTTTCAGACTTCAAAAGGACCTTAAATCATCTAGGTCTTCCTCTGTCTATTTTGAAGCACACTGAACCATTTCAAGGTAGTCTTAACTGGATGCAGAGAAGGAAAAATGGTTAATTGATTGATGAATATCGAGTTCCAATTTTGTGCAAAGCAGAAAGAAACCCAAGGGTATCCAAGCTAAACGTGATCTACTTTGTGCAATACCCTCTCAGAAATAATGAGTCAGGGATTTGGTAATATTTGTGGTATCAGAACATTTTTGCTTTTGCCAACTCAGTCTGGACTATACCTTAATCCAACTACTTCTTGTTCATCTTCAAAAACTTTTATTCTTTGCTGAAATCAAACTTTCTTCTCTTTTAATTTTAACAATTTCCAGTTACAAAAGCATATATAGGGAACACCTTATAATTTACTGATAGTACTTACTTGCCTCTTTGGCAGGCAATGCATACAGGAGCCTAAATATTTTGCCCCAGATTCCTATCACCTGCCTTGCTCTATGTCCTCCACTTGTGATATAAATAAGTATATTAAAGTATATTAGATTTCCTTCTCTGAAACTCAGACATCATCCTCTATGGCACGTCAACATCCTTGGGAGGAAAAGCACATTAGGTTGTTAAAGATTATTATCCTGATGAGTCATTCTGTCAGTTGGTTTTCCAGCAAGATCCTCTTGTGAAAATAGGAAGGAAGGGGGAGATATGATGGAGAGGAAAAATAGTCAGAAATGGAGAGCCAAAGAGTCTGAAAGTGAAAGGCTTAGGTGTTGGGTCCATCATTACTGACCTATGATAACTTTATCACCTTGTGTGAGTTATAAAACCTCAGTATCCTCCACTTTTTCATCTGTAATTGAGAATAGTCACACCTCCTTTGAGGATTGTTGTGAGAATTAAAGAAATAAACTACAAGAAAGTACTTTTTTAAATGTGTAAATAGTGTGTCTGTGTTTGTACCTTGAGGGCAACTGCCAGCATAAGGGAAAAGCATGTTAAAAATACAGATACTGTCTCCCTCACTCTTCACAAACTTTCCTCCTTTGAGCTTGCCACAGGAGGTCTGTCTCACTCCATTAAAGAGGAGGTGTGCTGTATTAGGTCAGAAGATACAGGATACAAGAACAGAATGGTCCACAGCATGTAGTTCTGGTACAAGTCTTTCTGGTGATGTCAGCTTTGCACTGGGGGCACTCAGGCACTTCTATTGGCCTCCACATGGCTTGTCAACTAGTGAAGGAAGGAAAGAAGGTGTCTGTGTCTTAAGAACAAGACACTCTTTCCCTCAGGGAAGAGTATAAACACACAATTTGTTGACCATATTTAGGACGGTGATCTTATGATAGGTAATACATGATGAATGATAAATTATACCAACTTTCAGATTGTATGGGCTAAACCAGTGAGAATTTGCATGTTCTGTTTAGGATTTACATAGCTTGTTGAAGAAGAAGCTTCAAACTAGAACTGTTGGAGGAATACTTTCCTCTAATAGTAATTAAGGAGGCACTAAGCTCTAGGCAAGTTCTAATTATTTTATATGTACCATCTTATTTAATCCTCACAAAACTACGTGGGAAGTACTAATATGCTGCCCACTTTACAAGTGACTTCTCCCGTGGTCATTCACCAATAAATGCAAAGCCAGGATTCAAATACACACAGTATGGATTCAGAGGCCTTTGATAATCACAATGCTGCCTCTCTACCCTGAGAACGCTTTCCCCAGAGTTCTAAAATACGTAGACCTAGTATCTGAGGTCTCCCTAACCTAAACCAGGTAGTCATTTTGAATAGAGAGTTTACCTACCAACTTTTCAGAGAAAATTATATTTAAATGCACCAACCAAAACTTGTGTATTAGGGGAAGAAGTCTCTTGTCTATCAGTTCCTAAATCCCTTAGAGTTCCATTCTTTCTAGAAAAAAAAAAATTTAAACTTCTGATGGATTTTCTCCCAATTTAAAGTAGTGATTCTGCTGTTTTAGAGACAATGTGGGTATTGGGATTAGCCCCTCTGTATCTCAGAATGTCAACACATTTACCAAAAATATATTTATCAGTTAAATATAGCCAAGAGATTTGGCTTATCTAAGTGTTCCACAAAGAAGAAATAGCTTACCACTGTTTTTACAGATTGAAATAAATCTGACATATTATTGACATATGCTACAGATTTAATTTAATACCATAGTACAGATGTGTGCTCTGATAAGTTTTCATGAAATCTAGCCTAAGATGAGTAGCATTGTTTCCATACTTACAGGGGTTGAAAATGCAGAGTTAGCAAAGGAAGCATTTTAATTAAAACAATATTTTTCTTTATATGCTCAGAGTAAAATGCAGTGGAATTCATCTAGAGATCTACTATTTGTTTCCATGTAGTTATTGTGCTTTTAGGCACATTGTAAGAGGTTGGGGTTCTGTTTTTCCAATTTTAAAAAAACTTTTGATTTTGGAACCATCAAAAATATTAATACTCTCTGCTGATTTTTTTTCTTTCTGCTAAATTTATGTGACTCTTTAAGTTTACCCTTTTTTAATTCTGTGTTTCAGGTATCCTGGAGATAACTTCTGTGGAAATTGGAGTTGTTGCCGTCAAAGCCATTAACAGCAACTACTATTTAGCAATGAACAAGAAGGGGAAACTCTATGGCTCAGTAAGTAGTCTGCTTTTATTTTCAAAATCCACTTCAGTAAATTATTACCACAGTTTTGCAATCTTTCCCCCAGACACTGAATGGCTTTGTTATCATTCTATTGCTGGTAAACAGAACCACAGTGGGCTGGTAACCAGAGTTTCGAGGGCTGGCAAGGCAGCTCTTCCAACTCTGTAATCTCATTTGTTGTTCACCCATTAGTGCACCACACAGGCTGTTGCTGGCATTCCTCAGTCAGTGTTCTGAATGCTAATATTCTGAATGTTCTGCGCTAACCAGTCAGACTCTCACGGAAGCATCTGGTCAGATTGTCATGGTTGGGGCAGACAACTTGGAGAAGAACCATTGAAAACAAAGATCTTTGACTGAGTAGAAAACTGTATACTGTGTGTGTGTTAAAAACAGCTGAAGATGAAACAGGGGCTTGAGTATTGTGTTTTGTTAAAATCTGGAGTAGGGAGACATCAAGAAATTAATCATTTTCTGTGCTGTTCAATCAACTCCAGAATTTTATTTACCTAAACAATAATCATTAATTCAGTTATGGAGCTGTTATCCAGCCAGTGCTTTGCGTATATACATCCCTGTGTTCCACAGCAAGGATTAAGGAATGTCACTTTAAAATGTATAAATAAATGTATTTTGTTGATTGCTGTAAGGATGACTGCAGTGCCTGTCTGGAGCCAGCAGCTACCACACTTCAGTCTGTGTCAGAATCACTTGGTAGATTTATTAAAAAACACTCCCAGATTTTCTGATTAAGTCTGTAAAAATCTGCATTTCTAACAAGTTCCCAGGTTTTCCTAACATATAAGAACCATTGGAAATTAATTCTGTCATTGACCTGGATATAGAATAGCCTTGTATTTCATTCATATCAGATCCGCTTATAATTGGGGCGTTAGGCATATTTTGAGTCAGTCCCTCGGGCTAGTGTAAATACTTTTTGGGTCAAGGGGTCAGAAAAATTTTCAGTAAGTGTTTCTATTATAAGTAGCTCTATTATTGAATCTGGAAGAGTAATGGACAATTTTTAAAAGTGGTTCCATTTGGGGATTCAAAGCATATCACTTTTGAGGCTTTTTTTTTTCTTCAATGAACATGCCCAGATCCCTTCCCTTTTTAATTTGCTATATCAGAATTACTAGTAAGGGGTCCAGGTGTAAACCCTTTGAAGAGATACTGATACACAGTCAAAACCAATGCTTCAAGTAAAACCAGCTAATAACAAATTTAGATTGAGAAAGAAAAGGCAAAAATTTTAATTGCAATAAAAGATTGAAATAATTTTTAATTGATAAAGTATACTTCTTTAAAAAGGTGGCATCAAGTTAAAATGGGCAGTTCTCAAATGAACCTTGTCATAAAATATTTAATACTTTTCCTTCCATTTCTCTTCTTTTCCCTACTTTCTATCCCAGCACAGCTCAATACGGTGCCAATGCTTCTCTTTGAGTGCCAAGACCTGTGAATTACATCTCTATTCCTAAAGTAGATGCCCAGTTGCTTTCTATCACGTTGTACTATTTTGATGATCTACAATGGCAGTTATCAGATATTTCTCTCATTAATGTGCTGTTGACTGCCTTCTCCCAGTAGATGGTGAACTTCAAGAGGACAGGTTTTGCCTTGTCCCACACTATTTCTTCAGCACTTAGACCCATACAATAAACAGAGTAGTGCAATGCATTAACCTAACTACCACCTCAAGGAGTTCAGCCCATCACAGCCTACAAAGTCCACTTTCAGTCTGTCTCAGAAAGAAGCTCATTCTCTAACCATAGTGCACTGTTTCTGCAATTTTGCATTACCATTAAGAAGGGTAAAAAATGACAGCTTGTTCAAAATTAAAAATCTATCCAAATTCAGCGTCCTACTCAGGGCAGAATAGAACTAGGAACTTTGCATTTGAAGGGTATACCATCAAAATTCATGAGTACACATCTTTATAATTCTGTCTATTAGGTGACAACTCTTGTAATTCTTATTTTTCTTTTCCTTTCAGGTAATAACCATTGATTCCATAAGCCTTCTTGAAAATAGCATAATTAAGCATCTACTCTTACTTTTTTATACATAACTCTGTATCAAATATAAAGTCATCTAAAGTAACCTCATCCATCCAGTCTCCAAACTACACCTTCTTTATTGAAATAAACATAACTATTCATGTAAGAAAAATCCTCTCTGCTTTGAAAACCATAGTTTTAGACAAACTAAGATGAATAAATAGAAAAAAGTAAACTCATATTATGGACTCAAATTCTTCCCTACTGCACAATTTTTTGTCACATTAAAATCATTACTTTAAGTAACTTACCTTTTCTTTTTCCTTTCAACCAAATAAACTTGAATGCTACATTTAAATATTCTTTATAGAAGAGAAGCACATAGGATAAATAAATTCCAGGAAGCAAAGCTTAAACTGGTAACATTAACATAAAATATACCTGCTTATTATGGTTCTAATGATGTTCAAAACTAGGATCGAGCCTGCAGAAACGTGGATATTTAAATGTACACACATTTAGGAGTTGGGAATCTAGTAGAAATGCCAAGAAGTCCCAAGGTGAGAGGAGCTGTTTGAACTGCCCGGTAGAGGTTTCAACTGAAAGATGAATACAATGTCCTTGGTTTGCATAGAGAAGTTAGACCCGAAAGAGCAAAAGCCCCAATTCCTCAGCCCCGTAAGAGCTTCTGTTTGAGTAAAAGGGGGGGGGGGGTGTCTCTGAAGCCAGAGTTTTGAGATCAGTGAGATACCTCCTTTTCATTACTAACTCCAAAGTGAAAACCTGGATTTATAAAAATGAATGAAATATCAATCTTTGTCATGAAAGATCCCCTTAAAAACACTTGGCCACTTAAAACAAAGCCAAAGGACTATGGCTACAGAGTGGAATTTCCCAGGATCAAAGTCTTCAGGCTTATACAATATAGACAGTACCGGTCACCATACTCATAATTTCTTTGACAAGGTAATTCATAAGGCAACGTTGTTTCATGTTCTACTTTTCATTCATTCCTAGACCTCAGAGTAAAGCTTGTCTAAATTCCAAGTTATGGAAAATTGTAAATAATTTACAAAATTGAGAAATTCAGTATTTGCAAGAGAGGACGACATCCCTCACTTCAAGGGCCTCTTGGTTATCTCGAACCATTATGGTTTTGCTTTAAGTTCTGCTTTCTTATCAATATATGTGTATTTATTGTGGATTTATGGGAGGTAAAGTTTGCAAACATGATAAGCCCACCTGTTTTCCTTGAATTCTGCTTTTCCTGTGGAACTGTTCTTTACACTGAAAAAAAAAAGAAAAGGATTATAACAATTTTCTTTATCATTGGCTCAACACAAATATTGTTAGTGGAATGTTTGTTTCTTAACAATCATTCTAGGTATTTAAACATCAGCTTTTTAAAAGGGCCCTAATATGTGGTTATAATGATCAATTAAAGTAAATCATGTGCCTTCAAACGTAGAAACTGTTTTGTCCTTATGAGTTTTATTTACTCTTCTGTTGTCAGCGTTTTGTATTAAGTCCACAACTTACATACACACAGCAACAGCAAGTAAAACCCTGGAACTGGAGTTCTCTGGATGGTTTGTGAGAAATGGAATGAAATACCATCACCATGGGAATAAAAGATTTTGTTTTTTCCTTGCAGAAAGAATTTAACAATGACTGTAAGCTGAAGGAGAGGATAGAGGAAAACGGATACAATACCTATGCATCCTTTAACTGGCAGCACAATGGGAGGCAGATGTATGTGGCATTGAACGGAAAAGGAGCTCCCAGGAGAGGACAGAAAACACGAAGGAAAAACACCTCAGCTCATTTTCTTCCAATGGTGGTACACTCATAGAGGAAGGCATGTTTGTGGATGCAGTATAACCAAAGGCTCTTTTGCCAGGAATAGTTGGTGTTCTTCCTGAAGACAGTAGTCCAAAAGGCAAAGACACATGGCAGATGCCTGCTTGCTTGAAAGAAAGGAAGCTTTTGAAGGTTTTTGTACTCACTGCTGACATAGGATGTTCTCTTAATTAGTTCTGTGTCCTGCCTTGTAATCAAGATTATAGGCAGATCAAATTGGATGGAAGTTATTCCTAAGTGAACAATACTGTGGCTGAGTTTTTGGGTTAAGTTTTTGTTTATGTTTTTGTTTTTAACCTCTGAGATAGGAACTTAAAGGACACAGAACAATCTGTTGAATGATCTTCGGGAAAGTTATTTATGGAATACGAACTCATATCAAAGACTTTCATTGCTCATTCCAGCCTAATGAATCAATGAGCAGTAAGACACACAAGCATTTACTGGAAAGCACTTGGGTCATATCATATGCACAACCAAAGGAGCTTTGGGCGTGGCATCATGGAAGAATTGGATAGGATTAAAAAATATAAACACAGTAGTGTAAAACTGTTCTAACAAAACAAGTAGTATGGTATGCTTGTGCATTCTGCCTTCATCCCTTTCTATTTCTTTCTAAGTTATTTATTTAATAGGATGTTAAATATCTTTTGGGGTTTTAAAGAGTATCCTCAGCAGCTGCCCTCTGATTTACCTTTCCATTTTCTTCAGCACACCACATGCATGTTCATGACAAAGTGTTTTTAAAACTTGGCAAAACACTTCAAGAATAGGAGATGAGATCTGGGGAAAAAGTGTGTGAGCCCCGTATGCTATCAGTTGACTTCATCTGCACTTCTGCCGTAAGAACCATCAACAGTGACCATGACAACGCTATGGCATGGCTTGAGAGAGAGATGTCTGCCATCATTTAAACGCATACATCACTCTTAAGGCTTCCTTTCCTAAGAAGTAGACCGGAAGGCCAAATTCTTCTCTTTCAATACATCAGTGGGTCTCTAAGAATATACTAAAAGAGGAAAAATTAATTGTTAAATACATTTTAGTAGCCTAGACTCATTATTTGCTAATTTTTTGGCCATATGTCGCAGTGGCAAGTGATGAAGAGGCTGTCTGCATATGTAAGAACCCTTTATAAGTCTCAAATAGTGCATCTCCCCCAAAAGGAACTATCAAAAGAATTTGGTATGAAGTGCAACCCTCCCAGGGGCTTAAACTGAGCAAATATATTCTGGTATATGTGTAACCATATACTGAAAACTGTTCAAGCTGTATGATCTAGTCTTTACAAAACCAAATAAAACTTATTTTCTGTAAATTTAAAGAGCTTTGGAAGGTTCCACAATGTAACCTTCTTGAAATTCATTTTGTTAGAGCAGGTATAGAAAACAGTACATAAGAGTGTACCAGACATCATCACATTGTATTCCACTAAATAAATACATAAGCCTTATTTGCAGTGTCTGTAGTGATTTTAAAAAGTGTAGAAAAATACTATTTGTTCTAAATACTTTAAGTGATAACTATAAGATTATATTGATGCTGCAGTTTTATCGTCATATTTCTTGTTTTGAAAAGGTCTGTTTACTTTTATTGTTTGGACCCAGTATTTTGGTACAAAGGAAAGATTCACTAAATGAGTCTTTTATGAAAGTTTAACCCCTAGAAAGACTGGTGTCTTGTGATTCTCTCTTGTAACTTAATTGTGTTGATGCTTAACTAGCACTTCCAGTTAATCTGTTTCTTAATAAACTTTCCCATAAAGTAATCCCATAAAAGGTATGACCATATTTTTCTCATTCCTTAAAGAAGCTGAGATTTGAAAGAAAACGCATTTGATGCAGAGTGTTTTGGCTTTGGCTAAAGTTGCATCTCATGGTACTTGGCTTCCAACTTGCTTTTTGACAAATGGGATTCTAAAAATGTTTAATTTTGTGGTTGGAATCTGTATGTTAAAACTGAATTGGTAACTGAGTCTGAGAGCTATAATGTAACACATTCCTATCAGAACTAGGTATCTTTGTTCTTTTATTTTAAAATAATAATTGCACCTGACACATGAACATGGACCACCCACAACCAAAATTCAATGTTTGGTGAGACAAATATAGTATTAGATGACCATGGTAACAGCAAATAGGGCACAAACTGGGTTCGTATTTCACATAGCCATTTAGATTACCAAAGAGACTATGTGTAAACAGTCATCATTATAGTACTCAAAACACTAAAACAGCTTCTAGCAAAATGTATCAAAGCTTGCAGAAGCCAAAAATAGAAAACATCTCCCTCACCTCTCCCCCTGCCTCGCCCCCAAAACACACACATGGACAGAAATAAAGACAGAAACAGTTTGGTAAGAAGTAATGAAGTTCTCCTGCATTTAAAAATGGCATCTTTGCTTGATATTGAGATAGAATTCTGGTCCCCTTTGCAGCTGGATTGCGCTACTCAAGGAAAAGCAGTTCCAGTCCTGAATGTTGTATGTTTTTTTAAAAAATCGTGATTTGGGGAGCTCTGCCGCTGTGGGAAGCGTGGCCCCTGGCCATAATGTGTCAGCCACAAATGTGTGTCCATCTGAGTGTTGCTTTCAAGGAGACGCCTCCTAAAGATAGAGATTCCCTCCCTCCTCCCACCTTCCAAAAGGCTGAACAGTGTATAGTATGTTACATTTAAATAAATCAATAAACATGCTGGGAAAAGAAAGTAAGACTATTGTCCTCATTTGTTTTATTAGTCTAGAACTATACCTGCTAATAAAGAGAGAAGTTCATGTCTCGTGTGCTTGGCAGGATGTGGTTAAATGCCCCACAGCCGAAAACAACAACAACAGAAAAAAAAAAATCACTCAAACATTTGTAAGGTTTCTTTAATGTTTTACATGTGTGAGTCAGCTATCCTTACTCTAATAACAACCAAATGCTTTTGATTTTTCCTAAGTATTCAGGTCCACCTCGTTTACACAGTGGATAAAGAAGGATGAATTGAAAACAAGGATGGCTTATGAAACAATGAAAGACTTTTGGAGGAAAGCCAGGAGGCTGCAAAATCTGATTCCAAGGGGATAGAGGAAACCAATGAGTTTGATTTGAAAAGTAGAGAGAAAAAAATACATAATAATGCAAGTTGGGTCCAGGTCCCAGGCAAGGTTATGGACACTATTTAAATAGGTCAGCATTAATCTGCACAGTTCTCATAATTTGGATGTTTGTTAATTTAGGTTTTATGATTATTCAGCAAAATACAAAATTTACCTTCGGTTTATTGGTGAAAGTTTTTTAGCTGGTCCAAACTTTGTTTGAATAAAGATATTTGTAAAAAGCCATGAAATATATCAGAGAAGATAGCTAGTGCATTAAAAGAAACACATTTACATACAAACAAGTATCACATTGACTAAGGCTTATTCTTGTTTATTTCACTAGATAGGACGTTTTCAACTTAAACTAAGCTGTAAGAAAAAAAAAGGGGGTATTTTGGAAACATATTGGAAGGAAAAGGGCAATTCTGAGTTCCACCAGAGCTGGGACATGAAGCAAATAAAAAATCTGCTTCCTCTCAGGCACTCATTTCCTCTTACCTATGACTGGCTTTATTTGCTTGGCTACTGCTTGCCTCCAGTTTACTTTTTTCCAACTCCAAAGCCCAAAACCCCAAACCTCTTTTTCTCAAGATTCCAAAATGGAAACATGCAAGGTATGCCTCTTAGTGGCCAGCTTTGGATGAGATACCAATCTCTACAGCAATTAGTAGGACAAGGCATATGGGCGCTATCATTGGCCAAGCTTCAGTCACATGGTCACAGAGCTAGGAGGTGTCGATTTTGGCAGCCCACACAACTGGAACTGGTGAGAAAGAATGTACTAAGGAAAGGGTGGTGCTGGGCAGGTGCAAAAACAAAAACAGTTCTTAGCTACATCTATTTAAATGAGAATACTGACTTAATCTTTCTTTTCTCTTTTTTTTTGTGAATTCTAATTAACCTTCATCTTTTTCTTCAAATCAGAGAACTCTCAAGATTATTTTTTTAGGCATTTTTTTTAAAAGAAGGAGACTGTATTTGTTTTGTTTTCAATTAAAGCCAAGAGTAGGTCCCTGAATATAGGCATGCTCACTGTAATTCTGTAAACTTTGTAGAATGATCATTAAGATGAATGCAAGTTTTCACTGAATCAGAAGGTCGTCCTCATACTAAATATCAGTTATACCACAACATGACATTATAAGCATTTTTTTACATTTATCCCAAGAGTATGTACTAGTATTTTCAAATGTATCAACATGAAGGGGAAAAAAATCTGAAACTTAAATAACATCTGTTTTTTAAAAATTGCAAAAGAAAAAAGAAAAAGAAAAAACTTGCTCTGTCTCTCACTGTGTCTTGTGTACATTCAATATGAGTCAAAAGAAAGCTTTATAACATGGATTTCTCTTTTCTTTTGCTGATTAGTAAATAATAAAACACAAAATGCTCTTGCAAGTGAATAGTCTACTGAAAACACCTTTATAAACACCATGTATTAGTTAAAATGGAATAATCACAATGAAACTAATGAGAACAAGGTAACTGGTCTCATCTCTAGGTGGCTAATGGAGACCATTTCCATGTAGCTGCTCCATCATGGCAGCTAAGGACAACAACCCCATACTCAAAGAGAAAAAGCACATGCCAACCATCTGTGCATGTGGCATGTATTATCTTATACGTTTTCATTATCCTCCACAAAAGAGCCTGTGTTCATTTTTCAGTATAGGCAGCTGCACCCTCTTGAGATGAGGACAGCAAGGGAAGAATCCAAACAGCCCATGTTCCTCATTACAACTGTAAATTGAACATGTGCCTTCATACAACTTAGTTAGTGACCCTAGAGGTAGAAGACCAACTACAGGAAGGCCTGAACCCTCCTAAAGTTTGGTTTTAATTACTTTATACACGTCTTAGATGCCTACATAATCTTACAATTTTTGAAATTACTCAGTGATCATTTCTGTGGTCAGTTTAAGCTGCTGACAGTGCAGATAGTCTCAGAGAGGTCTTTCAAGAATAGTACATCAAAAATCAGTATTTCATGAGGTATTATAAATAAAAAAAGAGACTACTTTTTATGATTACAGGAGATATTTGGGTTTGGGGACACATACCAGTTGAACATTAAAAATATTTAAACATCTGGTATTAAACACAAGACTTTTCAATTATCATTTTTCCCAGACACGTGATCAATATGTTTAGACACTAGTAATATTT